AAATTTGCATCGTAACTACACTCTCCCAAAGGGATCAAAACCAAACCAGAACTTTAGGCACAATGGAATCCAGAAAGAAAATGTTTGGATTTTCTTGGCAAACCATTTCCTGAGCATATCCCCATCCTAATACCTTGTTTTAGTAAGTTTAACTGCAACCACATATCTAAACCCTTGTCATGTTGTATCCAAGAGTGACATTAAACTCATAAACAAGAGATGGGCAGGAGGGAGAATAAATTTAAGCACAAACCAGGCAAAATGGAGGTCTTTATGTTCCCCTTTCTAATTAACATAGGAGTTGATGGTTCTACTGTCTGGGACACTTGTTCTTCTGAAGAAGCAAGTATCTAGTCTCCTGGTTTGTCTCCAAGCAGAATATGCTAGATGAAGCCCTAAGCAGTCTGGGTTGAAGATACTTTGGGAGAGTCTTTTTTTCTATGGGTGTTTAAAAAAGAAAATTGAAAGAGGAAGGCTTACTCTGTTCTCCTTCTCTGGAATTTGGATAAATAGAGGGGGATGGAGTTTGGCTATGATGACCAAGATCTGAGAGAGAGAGAGAGAGAGGGAGAGGGAGAGGGACAGGGAGGGTGGGGGAGAGAGAGAGAGTTGGGGGAGAGAGAGAGTTGGGGCATATGCTAGTGAACACAGCACAGATCCCACTGGCATCTTGTATCACATACTATGCAGTCATGGGAAAAGCGGGAGGAGTGTGCAAAGATTCCAAAAAGCAAATCCATTCACTAGGTGCAAGTGTGAAGGTGTGGAGAGTTAAAGGGAGGGGGAAGGTCGTGCCTTCAGCCCCTGACAAAAGTTGTGAGAAGGAGAAGGGCAGAGATAAGGGGAAGGCTGTGGTCCTTCTTTCAACTGTCCTCCAACAAGGTGCAATCGGCACCTCCATTCCCCTCCACCCAAAAGCAAGCAAGAACAGCACCTCTTCTGTGCTGACTTTCCCACAAGTAAATTCCACTGACGTCAATGTGACTTACTTGTGAGTAAAGCCATGGAAGCTAATGTGATTTATGGAAGCTAATGTTGACAAACATTTCAGCTAGTTATTTTCTGAAGCAACAGGAGAAAGGTCACAACCTGAAAAGGTATTGCAAACTTTATTTTTCAAAGGATGGGAGAGGGGACAAGGACACCGCCTATGTCAGCGAAAGAAAAAGCTTGTGGGATGAAGCAGGCAGGAGAGCAGTTGGAGGATTTCCTCCTGCTGCTGCTTGGCTGAAGCCCTGACCAAACATTTCCTCTTCCCCACCAGCCTAGCCATTTCTCCTGGCCCCAGAACAGTACTGAAATTTAGCGTGGGCTGATCTCTCTCTCTCTCTCTCTCTCTTTCTCTCTCTCTTCGAGGAAAAATGCATCATGTGGGATACAGTGACCTAAACAGCATGGGTAAGTTTCACGTGACAGGCTGGTGAGTCAGGCATTATAATGTCAATAAAAATGTCCACTGTAGAGTGCCTTCTGGTTTGAAATTTATTCTATACCTGCAAGTAATTCTTCACCTGCTACTAAAAAATTAAGAGAAAGGGTTTATCCTCCTCAACTATTTGTTAACCCACTCTGTAGTTGTTGGCTGTCTTTTTTTATTACATTTCTAATCCTGTCTTCCTTCCTTTCAAGGAACTCAAGGCAGAATACATAATTCTCCTCCTCCTCTCAATCTTATCCTCACAACAACCCTGCGAGGTAGGTCAGGCCAAGAGCCTGTGACTGGCCGAAAGTCACCCAATGAGCTATCTGGCCAAGTGGGGACTACAACCAAATCTCCTGAATCCCAACCCAGCAGTCTTTACCACTGTACCACATTTGCCTGCTGCTTTCCAGCCTCAAAGATGATTGAGTCCTGGACAACTCAGAAATATATAAAACTCCTCTCATACGCTTAATGATTCATTGAATAGAATTCATGTGCTACTGTGTTTTTTAGTCAATCAGTTTATTCTGAACTGCTACTTTAAAAACTATGCTCTTACTGGTGTCTGGTGTGAACTAGAGCTGGGAAATGCACAGCCCTGATCAGTCTGTGGCTTGCCTGTCTTTCTTGGAGGCCAAGTCTCTTTGCCCTCTAAAATTACAGTTGGGGGGCGGGGGGGGGGGATATGCCGATCCAGGTGACTCTCATACAAGGAATGCTCTTGGTGTTCTGATAGGATATGCTGCACATTTTGTATCCTGTGTCAAACATTCCATCAAGTACCGTAAGACAAACAGTGGTCAATCAATGAGACATTCAAGTACAGAATCAACTACACCACCCATGCTATAAACAGGAATGCTCTGTTAGAGCAAACTATATACAAATAACTGAGGAATTTGGTGAGACAGCTACATGCCCATTTTTCAAAGACCATATGCTAACACTGTCAAGAAAACTCAAAGTGGAAAATGGCTGTAAACTATTTCTTTTACATGTGCTATCTGAAAGTGTAGCTAATCTCTCTCTCTCTCTCTTCAAAGTACAATTAGCCACAGGGGCAAAATGCAAGAGAAGAACACTATAGGCAGCTTCAGTATTTACACTGAACTAAAAGACTTTAGGCATGTATTTTGAAAGGGTGCTGCAAACTGAACAATGAAAAAATGCATAATGATTTGGTATAATTAGCTAACACACAACTAAAGCTAGTTTGTTTAGGCTTGGTTCTGAAGATAAATGTCATCTGGAGAAGGGTAACTTGGCCCCTCTTATGTGAGTGCAATATGCATGTTTGAATTTAATTGGTTAGATAGTTGATGGATCAACAAAAATGTTCAGTCAGTTTACATTCCTTCAAAGCTCTGGCTAGGATCCTAAGATGAGTGAACAAATTAAAATTGAGGACAAAAGTTCCTTCTAGTTGCTATTGCTCCTTCTTCTATAAGAGGATTCTTGCACTTCTTTCAAAAGCCTCTTCTGACATGTAGGGGAAGGAATTGAACAATATGGGTGGATGTGAAGAATGCCTATTGTGGTTCTGTGGTGTGCAGTTTGTACAGCCTCCATGAGGCAAAAATGCATCTGAGTAGGCTTGAGACAAGGGCTGGGATGAACCCAATCACAATCCATCACAATCCACAATCTATCATTCTGGGCTCCCTCTTGTGTTCAGCCCAGTTTTCCAAAGCAAACTAAGCTGGATGCTCTTGGACCCCCGATTTTGCAACTGGTCACCCTCTTCCGTGTCAGACGCAGCTGCCCAAATGATCGCTGTATTTGGCATGGGAGAGGGGTGCGGCCAGCAGTGGTGTGGGGCTCCCTTCCTGGTGAGCCCCTCATGACCAGCCCTCCTTGGCATCAGGTGCAGCTGCCCAAACAGTGGCTGCACCTGTTGCAGAAGAGGCATGCTGCTTGCACAGCACATGGGACTTGATTCCTGGTGAGCATCACATAATCCCTGAGCGCACTTGCCAGGAACGCAGACTCAGGGCCACTGGAGAACTGAGCGCAGGGAATCCAAGAGACCCCAAATGGATTCTTCACACATCCATGCTTGAGGCCTCATTTTGTTGCTCACAGAGGCTTGGGCGGTGGCTGCTGGGGATGGGGAAGAAAGAAATAGTTGCTTTGAATATAGTTAGACAGGGCTTAGAACAGGGAAATTCCATTCCAATTGGCTGGGGATGTTGGCTAAGTAGAAATGAGCAGTTTGGAAGTGTCTGTTAAAGAATGACAGCTGAGAGGAGTTTAAAGGAGGTCTGTGGTAGAGAGAGGGAGAGAGTCTGCTGGTAGGAAAAGGAAAAAGCAAGAGGAAAGTGAACCGCTATGTGGGGTGATCCTGGCTGGCTGAGGAAGATCTAGAGAAGTGTGCAGGTGGCTGTGTTAGCTAAGAGGCTGCCCTTCCAACTACAGAAAGGAGAATACAAACAGGTGGTAAAAACACAGGTAAACTGTCCAACAGCCAACAATGTAAAAGGAGGAGTTTGAGTGTTGGAGGAACCTATTCCTGATTGCAAGGCTATTTGGCCAGGGTAGCGATTTAGGGAAATTTTTCAACAGACATATTAAATCAGGGCAGAATCACAAAGGCCCACACAAAACTACTGGAATTAACAACTACTTGAAGGTTGAAAGTATATTGCATTTGAAGGCCTGCACTGTAGCAGTCCATGCATCATTCAGTTGGAAGAGAGTTCCATAACCATGGGCGGAATAGAAATGTAAATTGAAATGAGATGAAAATGAAAGCCACGGGGCTATAACCAAAAAGGCACTGACTCTCATGGCTGCCTGCCGATGAGAGTGATCTTTCTAATGGGCATATAAACAGATCCTTTGTAGCTGTGCTTAACATATTGGAAGGATCATATTGCTTGTCTTTTAAATAACCCAGGCTCAAACCATATAGGGCTTTCACGGTTGATACCAGCACTTTAAAATAGGTCCAGAACACACTGTTTTTCAGAAACATGCCTTTTCATTGTTTGAAGCAAGACTGTCTATATTATCTGTTATTACAGCGGCACACCAGAGCCTCAAAATCTAAATGATATTCATTCTTAACAATTAGTCAGCTTTTGAAAATTGCCCTTGCTGATTAGAAATGGGTCTGAGGGACTAAACTTTTATCTTATTAATCTATTTTAAAGTTTAGTCCTAGTAACAGAGAGGTGGACAACGTATGGTTCTCCAGATGTTTTGGCCTACAATTCCCATCAGCACTCACCACTATTTGGGCCGGCTAGGGTTATGAAAAAACTTCTGGAGAGCCACAAGTAGCCAACCCCCACAAAAATTCATCATTTGCCTGTATTGTTTATAGAGAAAGCAATGCATTTCATAGTAAATATAGTTATCAGTGAGCATTAAAATAAACAAAGCTGCTGACAACTGTTTATTGCTGGCTATACAGCAATGTGCTGGCTATACAGAGATACAAATTTTGTAGAAATAATAATACAATCCTACACAGATACTAGACACAGAAACGTTGCCATTTCTTGAAGCTCAGTTTTGCTGGAACTTACCAATATAAGTCTAAATTGTTGGTGGAGAGACTGTTAAAACTACTCACCTGTATAATGTATGAGGCACTTGGGTCTGCACTGACTGATTCATTTTGCATAGTATTCTGCTGTGTGATTGCATCTTCCCTTTTCCTCTCTTTTTGTCCGGCTTCATCATCATCATATTCATCCAAGCTCTAAAATAAAACACGTACATGGTTTGGGTTGTTTGTCTGCTTTTCACCTACATGACAAGTTTCTAGTGTGACATTTGATGCAAGAATCTACCTTGACAAGCAAGTTGGCCTTTGCAGGAATCAAGCTATTTTAAAAAAATCACATGGGGTCAGGGGAGGTAAATAAACAGGTCACTGAAGTTTATGATGCTGCAGCAATTAGGCTATGCAGCATCACACAGAGTCTTACTGCAAATGCAAACCAGTTTTGTCAGCATTTTGTCTGAATGGTGAAAGAGAGAAAGGAGCCAGACAACAAAGCAGAGCGCAAGGAAGCTGTGCATCATTTGTGGAGCAATGACTACAGTGTTACAACCTGCATGTAGAGATCCCAGGTTAGTACCAGTATGGAGGGTACCACAGGGTGGCTGAGGTTATTGTTCCACACCACATGTGGACAATGTCAGGGCTAGAGAGACTAGCTAACCCATCTGCTGGGGCAATAATCTGTGTAAAAGGGCTCCAGGCACATAATGTATGTGCCTAAAGCTCTTAGAAACAGATTTTATTTTAGTGACAGATTTTATTTTCCTGGGCTCCAAGATCACCACAGATGGGGACTGCAGCCAAGAAATTAAAAGATGCTTGCTCCT